GGAAAAGCAGGTTGCGCAAGGACGAGAAGGAGGTCCCGTGAAGGGGAGGAGGAAGTTGGGCGAGGGGGAGGAGGAGGTCCGACGAGGGGGAGGAGTGGGTTGTGCACAGGGGAGGAGGAGGTCATGGGAGGGGTAGGAGCAGGTCGCATGCTGGAATGAAAGGTTGCAGGAGGTCGTGCGGGAGCGGGAGGAGGAGGTCGCACCAGTGGGAGGGGGAGGTCACGCTAGGGGCAGGAGTTCGTGTGAGCGGGAGGAGGGGGCCACCAGGGAGGCAAGGAGGTCGCACTAGGGAGAGGAGGTCACACAAGGGGGAGGAAGTATGTGCGTGCGCGCGCACACGAGAGAGAGAGAGAGAGAGAGAGAGAGAGAGAGAGAGAGAAGACTGGCATATCTTCCTCCAAATGTTGAAAAGATGCCATCGGCCTTTTTTGGGGCGGTGGTAATTTGCCAAATACCCCCATAAGTTGAGATGTATTTCAAAATGTCCCTGAAAGATCTCGGTACAGTGGAATGGCCTTTTGGGCTGACTCTGTGTCATGCCCCTGTCAGCCGCGTGTGCAAATTCGCAATGTCAGCCTCCCCGTTTGGGCCTTGGCCTTTTGCAATTGCACCTACGAAAAGTTGGCAACTACCGGGGCATTTTGCAAAGTTGGATGGTGTCCGATAGGGGTACATTGCAAAGATGGGGTCCAACCGATGTCCGGGGTGTTTCGCAAAATGTTTTTGTCATCGTCCTTCGCCGCAGCGTGGCTGCGGCAGGTCCACTTGTTATCTTCTAAAGCCAGAACTGCCAAAACGTCATGTTCCCTTTTTGTTTGTGCTTGCCATTTATGTAAGGAAAATTAGCGATAGGGGAATGACAGAAATCCACAATGCAAATTCACATTGAAGGCCAGAAAGTCCAACGCTGTACAGAAAGCAGAAATGCACTGATATTCCACCAATGGAGAACCAAAGTACTGAATCCGATGTCAATGAGAGCATACTCTCGCCACCACCAACATATGTATCCAGATCCCTTCCTCTTACTTGGCGCTAGCGCCCAGACTACTACTACACAGCTACAAACAGCCTACGAATTGACAATGCATCCCATTGAGGTCAGCAGCAACAACCAAAGTGCATGAAGATGTCGACCTTGTAGACCATCGCCAAGACCAGGTACATGCCCTCACATCATCATCCTCATCTCTCTCACTCGCTCTCGCTCGTCTTATCTCACCCACATCTTCTCTTTCCTGCACATAGATCACCACCGCCCTAGGACTAAGTCCAAGCCAAGCCCAACTATGGGGGCTGGCTATGGCACTGCCCTCAGCAGCGCCCTGCACCCTGCACATCCGCGCGTGCTCGCAGCACCTGTGCTACCGCAGCAAGCAGCCTGCGAGCAATTGCTCCAGTAGCGCTGCATCCCGCAACTTGCAAGTGCCCGATCTCTTCCCCGGCTCCCTGCCCTTCCTATATGGAAAGGGGGGGCGCTTTGCCTCACTTCCTACGTGAGACCGAATTTCCAGTAGCTTCAGTCTCAGCAAAGTGTCTGCGCCCAGGCCCGTTCCGACAGTGGCCTGGGGCCAAATTGGTTAGGCATGTCCAACCACCCAGGTGCAAACGTGGGGTGCTCCCTGATTACACCATGCGCCGGAAGAGCTGGAAGGCTCACAAATATTTCGGATTCTCACGAGCAACGCGGATGTAACCAACTGGCGCGTGGCAACTGTCTGGCGCCGACCAAGATTTGCAAAAAAATGACGAGTTCAGGGGTCCGCCTTCACTTAGGGCGGGCACGTGCCTGATGCAGGGCCTTATGCGGTTATGCCGAGGAATCAAACCCTCGCATTTATCTCCCCGAAACTGAAGTTGGTGCCTGGCTGATAGCTCCCAAACGTTCCATTGCCCAATTAAACTTCAGAGGCAGAACATGAGCGTCCTTGTCCCGTTTTTCTTTTTCCCTTCCTGTTTTTTTGTGGATTGTCTTCATCTTGGTGAAACTCAATTTACTGCACAGCTAATAGAAGACATGTGGCCCACTGAACAAATGGAGACAGAGAGACCACAGCCCCTCTCAATACTGCAAGGATTCAAATACTATGAGGAGATCTGCAGTGAGCATGCCTAACTTTCTGCAAGGATAGTTCAAAGCTCGTTTTTATGGAGGCAAAGCACAAACTGCCAAATACATCACAGGATTGCATTGGTTTTCGTCCTCTGATAACCAATTACAGGGCACAATGGGTTGATGGAGCTGGGGGACAGTGGGATTTGCATGCGAAGGACAGTGAAGCGGTGGTCATTTATACTTGATTTTGATTATGATGATATAAGTAAAGCTTGACCCATATCCAATGGCTGCATACATCGACAGTCAAGTCGAAGGCTCGATTGTCCAGGCCGAAAGTGCATTTTGAAAAAAGTAGCTTTCAATGCCTTGAAAATCAGAGGATCTGGAGAAGCTCACGTGAAGAGGGATTGAAAAGATCTGTGCTGGGAATTGAACCCAGGACCTCCCGCTCATGAGCCAGTCTCCATCCAGCTGAGTCTGTGAGTCACTCACCTGAATAGAGACTCGTTCGCCAAGCAGAGTGCAATCATGCCGTGGCTGTTGTGTGTTCGTCCTCCTCCTCAAAGCTCATCTCTTTTGCAATGAACTTATGACGAAGGTAGAGCCAGAAGGAGGAACCCGGAACCTCCTGCTCATGAGACAGGTGCTCTAACCAACTGAGCTACACAGACCAGAGGTGACTGTGATCAGAAATGGCACATCTGTCAACGAGTTCATCCACACACATCCAGGCCAAGCAGAATACAACTCTGAATGGTCTCT